TGGAAGCACCCCTTCCGACCATCCCATTTTATTAAAAGGCAGCTCACTTCATCAGATGTTGATGAAGATTCTCAGTCATCCAGGTGGAATTATCTGGAGGTTGAGTCATGGCAACCAGACTTTTCTTTTGATTTGATGTTTCACTGCTTCTCCAAGCAGCTTCAGTCTAGAAAGTTGGTTGGGGAGACCCCAAAAATGTCTTCCAGGGTGGCTGCATTCCTCACTGACATGATGGGCTCGTTGAAGGTTCGTTCATCAGATGCATACAAATCTAAATTGCACATCAGTCTGGCCACTCTATGCGTCAGTTGAAGTGTAGCTCACCAAAGTTTATGCCTTTCAATAAAACCTGTGAGTCAAAAAGGGTGCAACTAGATTCCTTCAAAAAACCTGAGTGATGGGTTTTATATTTTCATGCTGTGTTCTCTCTTGCACTGCTTGCATAAAAGTGGGGGACCAGAAATACTAAGATGTTTTCCTTCCACCTTTTTTGTAGAGCAAATGTTACTGTTACTGATCTGGAGGAAGTTCAGGACTTACTAAAAATGAACATTGAGAAAAATCAACATCTTGTGTCAGGTTCCATTCAAGCCAAGGTACTGAAATGGTTCGTATTAACTTTTTATTTTACAATTCATTTTTTTTCCAAGAAATTGAAAACCAGTTTTGGTTCATCCGACAGTTATGATGGGAAACAGCCTTAAGAGGGTCTAGTTTTAACGAGAAAGATGCAATATTTTGGTCTAGCTAAGTCTGTAATGCAAAGGGCCTTGCTAAATTATTGGACTGAATTAAATATATTTAAAGTTACAAAGTTTGATAAGGCTTTGGAGAAATTTAAATGAATGGGTAGATCAGCAGATGCGCATTTAATTGTATACTGCTTTGAGAACCTTGGCTAAAATTCAGGGTATACATAAAATAACAAATGAGTCAAATGTTATTTCCATATTTATTTGATTGATTAGATTTATATGGCCACCCATCTCACATCAAGTGACTCTGGGTGACTAACACAAAACACTGGAGTTGGACAGCCAATAAATTTAAATAAATAAATACTAATAGTAACAACAACATTAATAGAATAACAAAATGCTATAGATAAAACACATCAGAAAACAAAAAGAAAAATGGCCACTGAGGATAAACCAGTCAACAACAAATACTCCCCATGTTGTGGGTATTATATCGAACAACCTCATGGCTTGGGACTGGGCTACTTATGGGACCATCTCTCCCCAGTGGTGTCCACCCGTCCTGTTATATCCGGCGGGAAAGGCATGTTCCAGGTCCCGTCTGCAAGAGATGCCATCTGACAGGACCCAGGAAGAGAGCCTTTTTTGCCGTGGCACCCGCCCTCTGGAACCTCATCCCCCCAGAGACATGCTCCGACCCTGTTGACCTTTTGCAAGGCATTACACAAAGTTGGTTTTGCCATCAAGCCTGGGAGCCCAATAGTGTGGGTGAGCCTGTTTCTCATCATGGTTGTATTAAATATGGGATGTCCTGAGTGTTCTCAGCTGCTATCTTACTCTATGTTATTTATATTGTTTTTAATTTGGGTTGTTTTTACTCTGTTTTTAACTGTTAGCCACCCAGAGTCATGCATGTAAGATGGGCAGCCATATAAACTAATTAAATAAATAATCTGTACTCCTTTTACTCGCCCCGTTTAGGGGGGAGGATGTCACAGACTTCCTTCCTGCACCTGATTTCATACTGATGGCAGACTGCATCTACTATGAAGAGGTAAACTGCATTCCGTTAATATCACTGGGCTAAGATTAGAGCTGGGGACAGGCAGAGAATCCCTAGCCTTGTAATTGGGATTAAACTGGCGACATCTTCTGAACTGATTATTGATGTTATGAAATCAGGGTAGATATGCTGTGGTAAAATGGTAACCAGTGGGCTATTTTTCTTTGTAGGGTAGCCTTATGAACACCTTTGAGACTTGGACCAGGGAACTGAACACTTGAGTCTAAGGTTTGCTATAAGCTCTCTGTATGACCTTGAGGAGCCCACTCTGCCTGAATTCTTTAAATTTATATTTATGATGTTTAAAAAAATATAACCCTGCCCTTTCATCAAAGGTCTAAGACCCTATACCCATCTTGTCCTCACATCATTTATGTGAGGTAGGTATAGGCAAATGATAGTGATATAATCAAGGTAATGATAGCCCAAGGTTATCCAGTGAGCTTCATAGCTAAATAGGATTTTGAGTCCAGATCTCCCAGTTCTGGTCCTTTAGGGTAGGCAGCCAAGTGCCCCAATAATGTTTTGGACTACAACTCCCGTAAACCACACTCAGCATGACAAATTATTGATTTTGGAAGTTGGAACCTAGATACTTGGGGGCTCCCTCCTTCTCTAACTCCTGCATCAACTTTTCCCAGTCTGATAAAATCCCAGAATACTGTCCAAATGTTTTGGATTGTTACTCTTTTCATCTTATTTATGCTTTGCTGGATAGTGGTGGTAAAGCAAGTTGAAAGTCCTTCAGTCAACTGTGTCTATTTGTGGTAACTTGAGCTGAAGCATTAGTTTTTAGAAAATATCTTTCCTGAGAAATCCTTGGAGAGATTTCCTTCTCAGGATTCTTCAAATTGTTCTGGAATATTCAGCAGTCACCACCCCTATTTCATTCTGTGAATAAGATGGAGAGACAACTGTGGATCCAGCTCTTAGTGCTGGAAAAATGGTGATCATGCCCTGTTTCCTGCATTCCTTCATTACTACTTTTAGCCATTAGTGTAAACTAACAGTACAGCTTCATTATGTATTAACTGAGCTGAAGTTTCTCAGAAGAGAATTTTTAGGAGCTACAGTATTTCCATATAGTCATAGAAATAATAGCCTTTCAGTATTTCATGACTGTCATCCTGGGTCTACAATCTGATCTTTCTCAGAACTGATTGCACTTGCACTTACTTCTGCTATCTGCCTGGTAATTATCCCAAATAACTGAAAGTTTGAAGTGCCATCAAAAGAAATAAGACCATGATATTTGTTACTATAGTGATCTGGTTGCTTGTGTTCAGCTTTTTGAAGTAAAAACTGGATTGTACCATATATAAACAATGGGTTGAGACTAAATATCAAATATTTAACTTCTATGGATAGTCACTGGAGCCTTTGCTTAAGACCCTGAAGGACCTGGCTGGTTTGGGTACTTTCATCCTTTGCTGTTATGAAGAAAGGACTATGGGGCAAAACCCAGAAGTAGAGAAAAGGTACTTTGAGGTGAGTCTTGTTAGAGCTTTTTTTGATTTGGAGGAATGGCAGCAAGTTTTCTCTGGGGGATTCAAGAGTAGAAGGGCTGGTTTTCAAACCAGGATTCCAAAGTACTGAGTAATGATTTCATGCTTTGCAGTATTTCCTAGAACAGCCATGGGAAGCACAAATGGTATTTTGAGAATACTGTGATTTTTGAAAACTGATTCTGGTATAATTTTAAATCACAGCTTCTTCAGAGGGACTTTAAGTTGCAAAAGGTTCCCTTGGATGAACATGATGAAGAGTATCGGAGTGAAGACATTCATATCTTTATCATCCGAAGGAAAAAAATGGTAGGTGTTAGGCTTACTGGTTCTGGAAATGGGTTAAACATTTGTTCATGGATACAGATAACCAACCAGTCTTACTTCCTTACAAGCCAATTCAGTAAAAATGATCTTGGAGTCTGATTTAGTTTCAGAGTTGTCCACATCAAATCAAATCAAATCAAATCGAACCGAACCAAATCGAACCAAACCAAACCAAACCAAACCAAACCAAACCAAACCAAACCAAACCAAAC